TCTTCTTCCAATTACATCATCCCACCCAGGCAGAGAGGGAGGTTATATTGTGGATCCTGCCAGTTAAAGAATTCTGAGTGGCTCAATCTAGGAAGAGCCTTCTTTAACACCGCCCCTGCTCTTTGTAACATCTTACCCCCAGATGTTCCCATTCTTCTGGCCTTCCAATGGCATGGGGTGAGGGGGTCTAGGAGTGATATGCGATCCTGGTTAGTGGCTTGAGGGTTCTCCCTCCACTTCTTTAGCTTCCAATGTTTTAATTTTTAACTTTGCTTTAATTCTGTTTTAACTCCCTGTTTAAATTATGTGTTTTTTACACCATTGTATGTTTTTTGTTGTAAGGTGCCCAGAGTCACTCAGGTGAGATGGATGGTGAATAAATTAGATAGATAGATAGATAGATAGATAGATAGATAGACAGACAGACAGATAGACAGATGTGCTTTACTGTATAGTATTTGTCCCATGCATTACATTTTATTGCAACTTCCGCTTTTTTAAAAAAAATATACAGTATAAATAAAAGAAAATATTGTTTTGAATACAATCAAGTGACCTAAGTTAGTTACAATTTAGTAATAATGTTTTTAAACCCATATTTTAAATATTGTAACCATCCCAGAGGGTTTGTTTGTTGTTGTTGTTGTTGTTTTGGAGTCAGGCAGCCTAGAAAAGAGTCTTAAATAAATAATAATTAAATAAATAGTATTTTTTTTTCAGGATAAAATAAGCAGCATAACCTCCTGAAGTTTAATTCTCTGCAAAGCCTCAACAGTACAGTTGCCTTTAACACCCCAATTTGATGGTTTTGAGTGAAAGTGATAATTACCTGTCAGGTTTATTACATAAATAATTTATTCTTGTATCAAAAAATGTTAACAGCTTTGAAATAGAGATGCTTCTTATTTCTAATAAGGCGTGTGAAAAATTTAAGAAAGTGTGAAAAGAAAGAACACATTTATGTAAATATAAAAATATGGTAAACTGTGCTGTTTTCTCCATTTCTTCTTTCTTTGGCTAAAGGCGTCCTAACTACTCTCATAAATATTGTCCTATTTCTAAGTAAATACTATTTTTCTGAATATCAAAATACAATAAAATCTTGGAAAAGTGCAAAAAAAATTAATACCCTGACTTGCTTTTAGGGTATGTTATAGAATGATATCATCAGTGCAGCAGCAATTTAATTTTAGGAGAACAGTTTAACTTTTTTGAAGACTATGTCATTGCCCCCAAACAGATTTACTGAGCAACAAAGCAAATGCTTCTGTAGAATTAGCATTGTGTAGTCAGTACAATACAGTGTGAAAGTGAAATAAACAGTGCAGAAAAGCCTCTGTAGAACATTCACCAGGGATGAATACCAACTCATATGACCAAGCAGTGAGATAATGCTAGAGTCCTGATTATACTATGTCACAATGTCAAATGCTAAACAAATTTTTAAATATAAAGGCAACAATCTCTTATCCTACCACTGAACAATCTTATATATCCATTCATTCCCTTCTCACTCTGAGGCCATCTCTGCCTAAATTTCTGGAAATCTAATTATTCAATTAAGTGTATCATAAAGAAAATACTGACACTATTGGTATCTTGTTCCGATAGGGAGTATTTTTTAAAAAGCATCTACAATTCATTTAGAAATTGTTTGTGTACAGTGATGCTACTCAGGTGTCAGTGCATGACCACTGTGAATATATTTAACTCTCTCCAATACTCATACTGCAAAATTTAAGCAGCTACTTAAATTTCTTAACTGAATTCCCTGAGGTTGCAAAGTTGACACCTTTGACTTTTGTGAACTCTTAAACCTACAACCACATATATAACCACATACCTAAAAGTCCCTGTGACCTGAAGAGGTTTACAGATAGCTCTCAATTTATGACCACAAATAGAACCAGAATTTCCATTGCTAAGCAAGGCGATTGTTAAGTGAGTCATGCCCAATTTTGTGACTTTTTTTGTCACGGTTATTAAGTGAATCACACACTCATTAAGCAAATCTGGTTTCCCCCATTGGCTTTGCTTGTTAGAAGCTGGCTGAGATGGTCACAAATGGAGTCCATGTGACCCCAGGATGCTGCAACCATGATAAATACATGCTGGTTGCTTAGGATCCAAACTTTGATCATGTGACTGTGGAGATGCTGTGAATGTAGTAAGTGGTAAGTCACTTTTTTCAGTGTTGTTGCAACTCTGAACAGTCGCTAAACAAATGATTCTAAGTCAAGGACTATCTGTAATAAGTACACATATTACATGGTAAAATTCAATGGCAACAAAGCAAAAATGAAAAGCTTTATAGTTTTTCATCTGAATTTGTTAGCAACGGGAAATTTCAAACTTTGGTAGAGTTTGTTGTACAAAAATATAACAAAATCATAATAAAAGAAAAGAATTTTGTATTTGCCAGATGTGCATCCAAACAGTAGAATTCAGAGATATCTGTGAGGCTTTCCATTTGCTGGGCAGTTAATTTGCTTTCTAAAACCCAAGAATAAAACATATTTATAGCTATACTGTGAAATGAAAGCCCTGTTTGTTTCCTTAATAAAGCAATGATTTAGAGGGAAAAATGGGTACATCCAGGACGTTTTTTGTCATAGAACGCCCAGAACGGAGTTCTGGCACCTTTTTTGGATGGAACCTTGTAGGGTAGGCAAGGTAGGTTGCATAATGTGTGTGAGTTCCAGCACCTTTTTTTTTTTTTTTTACAAAAAAAGCACTGGGTACATCTATCATCTTTCTTCCTCCCTATCATTTCTGCGTTTCAGATGACCTTCCTATTGGCTTCCCTCCTTATAAGGGTTTGAAATTTTTGCAAATTCCACAGGGGAAAAAAATACTGCTTGCTTCTAAAAAGCAAAACCTGAGAAGAGATGTTATCTATCTTCTGCTTCTCCATTCTCAAGAATTACCCTCAATCTAGGATGCAGGTACCCATATGTAACAAGTCTCACCTGCAATTTTGTCCTATCTTTTGAAATGAATGTAAAAGGAAAACTGACTTTCTTAACAATTTGAACAGTAGTATATCTAACAAGGTTGTACTGAAAGAACAGAGGTTATGTGTTATGTTTTGCTTAAGGAAAAGAAATAAGAAATGACGATGATGTTAAGAAATGAAAACCATGTAACCATGCAAGATAAAAAAAAACACCTGGAAAAATGCCTTTCCAATGTTTAATAATACCTTCCCATTTACATTCCTGCATAACTTATTAATATTTTCTCTCCCAAATATACTATTATCCGTTCAAATATCAGGAAAAAAATGGTTCCTTCTTTCTGTTTCTGTCCTTCATTTCGCTTTCTCCTTCACACGGCAGAGATGACCTATTGCGCTTACAACTCTTTTGACATTCCTGCCGCGTTCTCTCTTCCAAAGTCTAAAAAGGTGGACCATCAATTCAATGTTCACCCTCCGATTCTCATATAAAAACACTTAACGATTCACTCACCTTCCTAAGCCTCTGAAACATATAGCCTTCCATTACGGCAAATTCTGAACGAAACAGACAAGTCGGTTATTTACTGGGAAAGGCTGCATCAGCCACATCTGTGCACTTGTTTGATTCACAGCTTCCCAGTCCCACCGAACACTGAATTATCTCTACAGTCCCCCTCACGGCATCCAGAGCCTACATCCTCTGCAAAAGCCCACTAGAAGGCTCACAGCAGTTTAAAGCCACTTTTGCAGGCATTCAAGTAACCTTGAATGCCTGCAAAAGTGGCTTTAAACTGCTGTGAGCCTTCTAGTGGGCTTAGGGGGAGAGCCCGATCCTTTTCTAGAATATTTATGACAGTTTATTGTTTTGTATGTCATTACCTCTCCATCAAGGTCACCCAGCCAAGTAACGCGGCCCTTTCCCTCTCCTTAATCCAGTGGTTCTCAACCTGTGGGTCGGGACCCCATTTGGGGTCGATCGACCATTTCATGGGGGTCGCCAAGCAAGGCTGTCCGCCATTTTTTTTGTCTGCCATTTTTCCCCCCTTTTCCGGCGGGTGCCTTACCTCCCTTGGGCTGGGCCAGCTGGTGGTCGGCCTGCTCCGTCTCTGCTGCTTGCCAGCTACGCCTCGGCCGGCGCAGGGGGCGGAACCACGCATGTGCAGTGCTCCCGGGCAGGGAAAGTCCTCAACTTATGACCGGTTGGGTAGTCCTCGACTTACGACCGGTTTAGTCCTCGACTTACAACCGGTTTAGTCCTCGACTTACGACCGGTTTAGTCCTCGACTTACGACCGGTTGGGGTCGCGGCATTAAAAAGGTTGAGAACCACTGCCTTAATCAAACAGGCAAGCTTAGGGCAATACACGTGGTGGTGGTGATTTCAGGCCAAGGGTCTTGGCTTGTTTGGCAACGCAAAGGCAGCCTTAAAATTTAAGCTTACAATCCTCCACACAGTTCCTCGGAAATAAGTCCCACCGGACCCCCCCAAAGGGGAGGGGGCGGAGTTCCTTCCGAGTAGGTCTACACGGAACGACCGCATTCCATACACACGTTCTAACCAGACTCGCGGGTCAGAAGCAGGCAGCGGGAAGACCCCGTGCCTCGAGCAGCGAAACACCCTCCCCTTCGGGGCACCCCGAAAGACACCTCGAGCAGCCCCCCTCAAAACAGCCCACTCAGAAACGCTCTCAACCTTTCCCCCCCCCCTTTTTTTTTTGCCTAAAGCTCGGAAGGAAGAAAGGAAGGGACGGCCATAAAAAGCAGTTGTGGGAGAACAGCCTTCTCTCTCCCCCCCCCCAGCCCACCCCCCAGCCGGCGGCTTCCCTCTCTTTCTTTCTGGGCAAGCCGCGATCCTTCGCTCGCACCCACGCCACGCAAACAGCGCCCGCCGCCCGCACAGAAGAATGGAGGCAACAGCGCGGGGCAAACGCCCCCTCTCGCCCCGCAACTCTCGCCCGCCCCAGAGGGAGAGAGAAATGGTGCCCTTGGCGCCAAGGTTGGAGTAGGGTAGGGTGGGGTGGAGGGGGGAGAAGATCGGCTACCTCGCTCTCCGCCTCTGGTTGCTCCAGCCGCCGCCACTCTCCCGCTTTTGCCTTTGGGTTCAGCCGGACGGCGCGGTTTCTTGCTCGGCTGTCTCTGCGTCAAGGCGCGGGAAGGGGGCGGAGAGCGCGAAACAGCAGCAGGAGCAGCCGGCGCTCGCCTTCCCTTTCCCTTCCCCTTCCTCCTCCTCCTCCTCCTCCTCCTCTGTGGCGGGCTGCTTCCAAGTCTGGGAATCTGTTTTGGGAAGCGATGCTGCAACGCGGCACTTCGCCTCGGTCGGCGAGGGGAAGGAGGCGGCGGATTGGATTCACGCGCGGCAGCACCGTAGCCGGCTGGAAATCTTGCGCTCTTTCTCTCTCTCTCTTTTTTTTTCCCCCTTTTTTTTCTCCGGCTCGTTTGCAACGTTGCTGCCGCTCTCCTGCTCCTTGCCTGGCGCCCCAATAGGCTCGCGCCTCTGCTGCCGATTGAACGCAAGATAAAGGGCGCAGAGGAATTGGGGCGCCGCTTTTGCGTTCGCGTCCCTGTCGCCGCCCTGCGGGACGCGTTTAAAAAGGGCGCCGGGGGGGGGGTTTGAAAAGAGGCTGCCTCCTCAGGTTACCTCAACATCCATTCTAGAGGCGCTAAAAGAGCGGCGGCTTCTCCCGCCCTAGTTGGGGAACGGGCGCCAAAAAGGGCCCAGGTTTCATCCTGGCCCCATTGAATCGATGGGATTTAGTTGACGGGTTTGTTAAACAGCGCGCACCTGTCTTCTGGGGAGAGAGGCCACCCTAATAAATATTGGGAGGTGTTTTCAAGGAACCGTATAGGTGCACCTTCTGCCCACAAGAAATGTAGGGAAATGCCATCGTTCCCAGCCTTCTCGCTCCTCGTTGCTTACCTGGGTAGAGGGTGGTGGAAGTTGCATTTCAAAGCCTTTGGAGATCTCCAGCTTGGAAAAAGCTAGATTATATACTCAAGCTGCAATTCTGTGTAATTAAGTTTTGTTTTTTGAGGTGACATAGAAGGAAGAGAGAGAGAGAGAGAGAGAGAGAGAGAGAGAGAGAGATAAGATTAGGTATTAGATAGATAGATAGATAGATAGATAGATAGATAGATAGATAGATAGATAGATAGATAGATAGATAGATAGATAGATAGATAGATAGATAAGATTAGGTATTAGATATTAGATAGATAGATAGATAGATAGATAGATAGATAGATAGATAGATAGATAGATAGATAGATAGATAAGATTAGGTATTAGATATTAGATAGATAGATAGATAGATAGATAGATAGATAGATAGATAGATAGATAGATAGATAGATAGATAGATAGATAGATAGATAAGATTAGGTATTAGATATTAGATAGATAGATAGATAGATAGATAGATAGATAGATAGATAGATAGATAGATAGATAGATAGATAGATGATAGATAGATTACTACTTTGAAAACCACAAATGGGACAGAGAAAACAGGAATTAGTATGAAGTATAAGGCAGACCCTATGTCTTAAGGGAGAACTTTATTTTTAATTGATTTCCCCACGGTTATTACAAGGATCTTTTTGTAAAATTCATATATTGCCAACTTACTGCAATTATAGATTAACCAATCTAAGGTCATTAGACTGGAAGGCTATTACTGAACATCACCATTGGGCCAGCCCGGAATAGGAACAATCCAGTGGCACTATTTATTTAATTAACTGATGCAACTGAAATGACCTAAAGAATTAAGGCATACCAGAGGGAATCTGGTTTGATTGTAAGTGCTCTTGCTAGGAGAACTTCCCAATGGATTGTGTATCATGGACATATCTATTATCAGTTCTGGGAGCTGTAATCCCAACACATCTGGAAGCTGCCAGAATGGAAAAGAAGAATCAAAAGAAGAATCATTTTTCCAGGAAGGAGGGAAGGAAAGAAGATATATTAAAATATTATTGTTGAATAGTACTTGCTACTAGCACTGGCACTACAATTCTAGAAGGATATATTTCTGGAACTCTTGATTGTGTTTGTAACTTTGTGTTACAAAGTTTCTAAGACTGAATTGTATTATCTTCACATTGCAGATGACTGTTAGGCTGAAAGTTAAGCCTAACCCTGAATCTATCTTGTAAAAATAAGGTTGAAGCAAGGTTCAAATGCATCACTTATTTAATTTAGTTATTTATTTATCTACATTTAGGGGCTACCTAGCTCTTTAACATGGGTGGCTTACAAATAAAAAAAACATGCAAATATAAGAACAAAGCAATAACAACTCTGGCCAATCAGAAAAAGAAAAAGCTATTCAGCAGAAATAACAAATGTAAGCTTGTCCTTTATTTTTCCAATTGACGTCGTATTATGTAAGGTAGTCCTCAACTTACACTAGAATTGGGACCAGAATTTCTGTTGCTAATCAAGGCTGCTGTTAAGTGAATCATGCCTGATTTTACAACCCTTTTGCCATGGTTGTTAAGCAAATCACTACAGTTAAGAGAATCATGCAGTCATTAAGCAAATACAGTTTCCCTTATTGATTTTTTTCAGAAGCCAGTTGGGAAGGTCGCAAATGGTGATCACATATCCTGGGATGCTCAACTATTGTACATACATGCTGGTTACCAACTGCCCAAATTTTGATTATGTAACCATGGGGATGCTGTGATGGTTGTGAGTGTGGGACCAGTCACTTTTTTCAGTGTTTTTGTGATTTCAAATGGTTACTGAATGAATAATTGTAAGTCGAGGATTATCTGTATCAAACAGCAGGCAGATCTCAATATTTAAAGGTGGATGATGTAACCTTCCAAGTGTTGCTAAAGAATCACACATAATATTTCTCTCCTTCCTAGCTGAAGTTTAGAAACATTTGGAGAATAACATAAGGCCTGTTACTGATTCAGCTATCCAGATACTTTATCATTATATTATTATTAAATGCTATTATATTCTTACAGGGTAGTCTAAATAATGTCTATTTTCTAAGGTGTCTATTCTATTGAATTTAGTGGGAATTATTTCTAGATTAAGCAGATAGGGAATACTAGCATTAACAGCAGTAGAAAAACAGGAAACCAGATAAATCATTGTTTCTTAAGCTTGGCAACTTGAAGATGTGTGGACTTCTTAAATTAAAAAAGCCTGGGAGTTGAAGTCCAGACATCTTAAAACTGGTGGGTTTAAGAAACATTGAAATAAATGAATACCACTGCAATGAATGTATCAATTCATTACACTTATCTAATGCTTTTCTGGAAACAGTAATGTGACTTAGATATTAATGTAGTTAAAATGTACAATAACAGTAAAATAAGTTTGATAGATTAAAAACTTAGCTCCTTTAAACCAACGATCTTTATCAATATGGAAATACTTTAAAATGAGAGGAGGAATAAGCTGCTTACCCTCCAGCCAAATTCTTTACAAGATAGGGAAGTAAGCCTTGAGAGACAGTAGCACTGCGTGGGTGTCCTTATTGAGAACATCTGACTGATAGACATATCTAGTCTTTATCCTAGTTTGGTATAAGCAATATTGAGTCAGAAGAGAAGTATTCATGTTACAAACATTTCTGGGAGTGGGAAGAGTCAATTGCAAAACTGCCATTATTCTCTAAAAAAAATAAATTAAAACATTACAGTAAAGGGCATTCTGACCACAAAAACAATATGAGAAAACGACAAGAAGTTGATTCAATCTTCTACATTCAAATCCTTCTTCCAAGTCATTAGCTCTGCTTTTAGTCTTTATTGCAGATGGGCTGAAGTGACTCATATGAATCTGTTCATACCAAAACAATTTCCCTAAGAACGTTCCCAAAATATTTTAGTTCACAGCTAATTTTATTTTGTAGGCTGTATTGAGACATTGCCCTCACATTCCTCAATAGCAATCACAGGAGTCATTGTGTCCAGTTCTTCTGCAAGTGATTATTCTGAGTTGGTTTTATATGTCCTCTAGTAATGGGATTCTCGTGTGTTGTTAAAATGGACAAATTACAAAATTGTTATGGCAGATATCTTCCTTTCAAGCTGAATTGCATTAACCTCTGAGCCTGTCCTAAACATTTATCTCTTAAAATGGAGAACTCTGGGTGTGAAATTTCAAGTTCTTGCTTGGAATCCCATCACTTATCAAAGGGATTCTTATCCTTTTATTGCAAAAGATTATAGTATACGCATTCAGACTTTTGTACTCCTTATTTTTAAACCCATTCACTGAAGTTTATAGATCATAAATGTATAAAGGACCATTACACTGAATGTAATATGATTTTTGTTAAAGCAATGTCTACATATGTGGCAACATCTGGCTATGCTTTTCTGGGTTTGGGCGTTAAGCAGGTTCAGGCCTGCTTAGACATCCAAGGAAAACTAGTACAACAGAGCAGACTGGAAATTTTAAAAAAGAACAATCCAGAGACAAGCAATACAAACCTGTATTATTGTCAAAAAACTATGTGGATGGGTCAAGGAGATCAGAGGAACTAAGGTCAACTGGAAGGAATCTTTGCATGTTATAGAGTAGAACTCCTTTTTAAAACCAGGAACAGCAGCCTAATTACATAGATGAATATTAATAGATTAATATTAACCATTGCAAATTTAATAGATTCTCTTTCCATGAATCTAAATATGGATGAGGCTATTTTTGGTGCATACAACATAACATTTTGGTGTTCCAATTTTCCTACTTCCTATTCTTGAGATGCATTCAATTAATACTAATTAGACAGGAAAGTATTAATAAACCACCAAGGAAATCAAGTGTTACATATTAATACAACCTGTACATTGGCTATACTGTAATTCACATTTTAAAATAGCTGCAATAGTACAACAAAAATGGTCTGAAGCACCTTTAAAAAGGTGTTGGGTTTTTTTGCTTTTAGATACTAAAGTGGCTAAAACACAAGGAAAAGACTGCTTCAACTAGCCTTTTAAATCAATGCAGGTTGAATGACTTGAAATAGATTCAGTCAAGTGAAATGCAGTAGAAATACAGTTATAAAGCTAATACTGTCATTGAAGGAG